TGATTCCTGTGTTGATTTGTGAGATTTGATGCATTATCTTGTGGTGATGCATGTTTAGAGCTTGTTCTTAGGGTTCTTGAATGCCATTGCTTGGCTATTTCTTAAGTTCAATTCATATTGTTGTTGTGTGTGAGATTTTGAGTGTTTTGGACTTGAACTTGGCCTTGTTATTGAAAATCCCCGAAGGGATTATTGTGTACAGGAGAGTGTACCCGCGGGCGGAACGGCGGGTGGAGGCCTACCTGCCGCCCCACCCGCGGGGTACGTGGCTGCCTCGGGTATGTACCCGCGGGCGGAACCGCGGGTGGAGGTCCACCCGTGGCCCCACCCGCGGGGAACGTCGATGGTTGATGTCGGGGATTCGTTCCCCGTGATTCTTTTGACTCGGTATTGATATTTTGACCTCCCGATGTTATTTTATTGGGCTATTTGTGAGTCTTCTTGATGTTTCGTAAGTCTAGAATGGTATGTTAGGAATCCATGTAGGATTTGGTGTCTTGAATCGTGCTAAGGGTCCGACTTTTTGATTCGTTGGGCTATTGTGAGTCTTGAATGTTCTTTGGAACTACTTTTGGTTTACCCGTTTGTTAAGCATGCTAGTTTGATGTTGAAATGCTAGTATGTGTGGTTTGTTCCTTCTTATTGGGATTGGCAACTTGTGTTGACAATCATTTGGTGTTGGATTGTGATCCTTTGTTGTTGAGTATGGTCTCATGTCTTTATTGTGATCTCTTGATTGATTCCTATGATATGAACGTATGCAAATCGTTGTACCCTTGATTGATACTCGATTGAGGTTATTGTTGAACCTTAGTCTTCTTGGTAATGATGATGACCTTGTGTGATTATGATTGAGATTGGTGGTGTGTTATTTGAGCTTTGCTCACATGTTGGAGGCTGTGTGAATGAAATTAATGGTACCCTCGTGTACTGAGAGTTCGGCGGTATGTTGGAGGTTGTTGGAGGGGGGACGACGGTCCCTGGCGGTATAAGGTTGGACTCAGAAGTACAGGGTGGCACTAGGAGGTAACGGTTGGAACTGTTATAAGGTCGGGGGTAGCCATAAGGTTGGAACAGGGCATAAGGTTGGAACTATGATACTTGTGACATGTAGTTGTCACCGTGTGATTGTGAATTCCTTGCTTATGAGCATGTCTTGATGTATTCTACTTTGTGATCAGTAGAATGCATCCTGAGTTGTGTTGTCTTTTATGTTGCGGTCTTGTTGTTGTTGTGAGGTTGATGATCCTTGTTTCTATTGAGAGTGTTTGATGAGTCTTTGGTGTTGACTTCTCTCTTTGGTTTTAAAATGATATATATTGTATTCCCGTTCCAAATGGTTTTGATTATATCTATCTATATATGTTATTTAACGCGTATTGATGGGTTACCAGCAATGTTCGCTGACCGGGTGTTATCCCCATGTTTTACAGGTTTTGAGTAGATGCCGAGCGCGCTAGATGTGGACGCTAGATAGAGTAGTTCCATGTTTAGACGTTACCTTTTGTTGGCCTGTGAGCCTAGTTTAGCGGCCTGTGTGCCTAGACGTTTTCTGTTTTGTTGACTTGTTAGTTTTTCCCGCCCATGCACCTATGTTTGAGATAGGTGTGGCATAACGCTTACCGATTTTATATAGCTTCCGCTTGCTTTATGTCTTGATGATTAGATTGTTTTCCCTTGAATTTAAGTTTTAAAAATGTGGTACAATCGGGGGTGTTACAGCGCTCGGTTGGGCGCTCCCTTATCCAATCGCTCTTTCGCCGACCGACGGGTTGCGTTTGGGCCTAGTCTGGAGTGCACAGACCGAGCCGGTGGGTCTTCTACCCTCTGGTCCTCTCGCCTGTCTCTGTCAGACCTTTGGGGCGGATGCTGGTTTTGCGGCTGCGGATTCGGCGATCGGGAAACCGATGGTTCCCTCATCTCCCAGGTTTGCACGGCTACTGCACGAGCAATGGCATCGATTTGTGCGGGGGTGAGAGGTATCATCAATGGAGGCCGATTTCGTGGCGCCGAATCACCCCCTTGACTTTGTGAATTTTGCTGGTTCAACTGATTCCTCAGGTCTGCCTCAGGCACACTGTGACGATCGGAGGCCTCGCTTCGATCCTCAGCCATCGTTTTGAACTTTCGTTCCTACTTACTTGACTTTCTGCTCTATTTCCGACTCCTTTCTCGGTGCAAGAGAGCGATCGTAACTTTCGTTACGTCCCCACAGATAGAGCTGTCAAAATGGGTCCAACCCGTCGGGTTGGGCCCGTTTACCCGTGATTTTGGACGGGGTTGGGTGGGAGGAATCCTAACCCGTCCCATATTAGACCCGTCCCGTTTAACCTGTGCTGGGCACGGGCTACCCGGCCTGTGTACTTAAAAAATAAAAAATAAATAAAAAAAATAAAAAATAAAAAACGATGCTATTGCCTATTGGGAAGGCTTCTAATATCTTTGTTGTGTACTTGTGTTATAGACTTTAATGGATTTCTCATTTATGGACTTTTAAATTTAAATTATGTTTGACTATTTTGAACTTTTGGCTATGTGTGTCTTGAACACTTTGAATGTTTTATTAAAATTGTGTCGAAAACTTGTAAGATTTGAATGTGGAATCATGAATGTTGTGTTGGAATTAGGAAGTATGTCATTCAAAATAATTTATTTATTATAACTTATAACAAATTAACAATAAAATAAATGTAAATTTTTTAAAAAAAAGTAGTACGGGTTGACGGGCTGGCCCGTTTAGCCTGTCAACCCATACCCAACGAGCTGGGTTGAGAAAATCCCAACCCGTATGAAAAACGGGCCGTCCCGTTTTCTTCCAACCCGTGACGGGCTAGCCCATATGGGACGGGCTGGCCCGTATTGACATCTCTACCCACAGACGGCGCCAGTGTTGGTTTTAGGGTTTTTGGGCCCAGGGAGGTCCAACACAACCTTAGTTGGTGGATTCACCTTTCAAAAATAGAAGGGAAATAATAGTTCTTGTAAGTGTGTGTATATTCTTGGCCTGATCTTGCTATCCCCCCTTTTACATTCTTGAGGAGTCCCCTTTTATAATGGGTCTCCTCGGAATCATTTAAAAACATACATTTAAGGCCATAAATCGGCCTATTAATTTTAGGGGTCGTTGGGCTGATGTTACTGGGCCTCCCAACGGCTTGCTGACCGGGCTCCTTAAATAGCCTCTTAAATGCTTTAACGGCTATCTCCGTGTGGCATGCCCACTCGCGCCGACCCCACACTCGCGCCGACCTCGGGGTCGAGCCGACCTCTTGGTTTCTAACCCCTGCCTCTCTTGGGCTTTTCCTCTTCTAGACTTGGCATTTTCTCCCCTTGGGCCTCTCTTCTTCCTCTTGGGCCCCGAGCCCACGTGGTTCACACCCCATCAGAGTGTATATTATCAAATGAAACTGTAGTTATATAAAAATGATACTTTAGTTGTGCTGTAATAAAACTACAATGTATATAAAATGAAACTGAATAACAGTTTCACATATTTGAGTGTATATTGTCTAATGAAACCATAGTTGAATTAGAATTATAATTTAGTGGTATTGTAATAAGACAACTTTGTGTATAAAATGAAATTCAATAACATGTCTCACTGTAATAAGACTATTGTATGTATAATGTCAAATGAAACTGTAGTTAAAGCAAAATGAAACTTTAGTTGTGCTGAAATGAAACTACAATACATATAAAATGAAATTGAATATGTTATACAAACAAAACTAATTACACGGAAGTACGGAATGGGTGTCGTTTCTTTTTCATTAAAAGAAACGACACTATTTTGGATCATGGTCTACACAGATGTGTGGTCCACAGTAAAATTTGCAACAAATTATGCTGTGGAACCGTGTCCACCTTGCAAAACTGTCATAATTTTGAATATAAAGTTCAAAAATTATGAACATAGAGTTCTATAATTATGAACATAGAGTTCAATAATTGTGAACATGAAGGTTTATAATTATGAACATAGAGTTCAGTAATTATGAACATAGAGTTTTGTAATTGTGAATATAGATTTCAATAATTGTGAACATGAAGTTTTATAATTATGAACATAGAGTTCAGTAATTATGAACATAGAGTTCAGTAATTATGAACATAGAGTTTTGTAATTGTGAATATAGAGTTCAATAATTGTGAAAATGAAGTTCAAAAGTTATGAACATAGAGTTTTATAATTATAAACATAGAACCATATCCACCTTGCAAGGTGGACACGGCTCCATGGCATAACAATTGAAAATTTGCCATTAAACTTCATATAGGGCCACAAGTTTGAATGGGCACTACTTCAAGACTAATTTAAAATGTTTTTTTTTAAATAAAAAATTATATGTATTCAAAAATTTAAAATTATCATTTAATTATTTGCAATTAACCCATACAATCCTTTAACTTCATATGTTAAGGGCCCTTGTTTTTATTCCGGACCTATAAAATGATAGATCGGCCCTATCCATGGCAAATTCATAGTATGTGTGCATTCAATAAAGGATTCACCGCCTTGCGGTAACGCGCATGTTCTATTTTATTTAGTAATAATCTTATACATGAATTTCTGGCGAGAGTATATTGGAGTTAGACTTCAAGATATGATTATTATTAAATTTTAAACTATGATAAAGGGTTTAAACCATGACCTTTGCCCAATTAAGAACAAGTGTAGTGCGGAGGGATTTTATTGCATAATAATGGTAATGGAAAGGTTCATCGCGATCTCATTTTATTCATTTTATTGTTAACCGAATGATCATGATATACTACTAGGTGTCGCTCATGACTTACGGATTATTTAACAACAAGTTATTTTTAATTACTCGTTGCCAAATTGTGTTTGGTAATGCAGATATATTAAAAGAAATGTGATGAGTCGTTATATGTTTAAATTGATTTATTAATAGGGATGCTCTAAGGAGAAAAAGCAAAGCGATCTCTGAAATATAAATATAAATTTGGTGTATGTACTTGAACAAGAAGATGAAATGCAATTGAGAAGAGAATGGGGGATTTCTTATGTTTATGAGTTGGCATAAAGTACAATTGATGTTAAGTTGACAGAGAGAGAAAGCTAATGAAATTACATGGCAAAGACAAGACAAATAAGACTAGACGAGGAAGAAGAACAAGAAAGAAACTAATCTTGAAACTAACAAACAGCTATTCATCTATAGATACATTTTTGTGGTGTTTTCCTCGCTTTTCCTTGGCATTCCCAGCCTTTATGGCCTTGACATTATTGTTTGTGCTGTTCTGGTTGCTAACAGACCCCTCCTGAGCACTGCACATTTGCGACTTCAATTTGAAACCGAACTTCTTGGACACATTTCCCCACGCGCTAGATCCCTTTCCTCGCCCTAACTTCTCGATCTCCAGCCTCATGTTCGAGCACTCCTGCTCTAGCTCCGAGACACGCAGCCTCATGTTATCCATTCCCACTTTCAATACCTGGTTTTCCCTTACGGCTGTTGCCCAGCCTCCCTCGTTTCCTGCTGCTCCCACCATACCGCTCCTCAACTGCCTCGACCCTTCGAGATTTTCCGACACTAGGAAGCAGCCGGCAATCGATGTCCTCAATTGCAGCTGCTCGAAGAAGAGGACTTGGACGACAATCCTCAAAGGCAACCTCTCGTTCTGCGCCGCGTGGGTGCATGCTTCCAACGACAGCTTCTGGCAGTCCATTAGCCGGCAGAGTTGCTCCCTCTCGGATTCTGCCAACCAAGGGTGTGACTGCAAACACGACGTTAAAACAAGCCATAAGGATTCAGTCTAGCATTAACTCATTTTAAGCACCATAGTTGCCTTTGGGTTTTCGTTTTTCTTTTATTTTTGTTAGGATCAAGCGCTTACCACTACACCAAAAGTTATATAGCTAGTAGCGAATGCACAACTTTATTTCGTTATACTGCCACCACATTTTCGAGAGACAGGGTGCTGGACTTGGCCCTTCCAGCCTCCACCCAACAATCCCCTAGCCACCTGGTGCTAGACTTGGCCCTTCAGGCCTCCGCCCAACAATCCCCTAGCCACCCGGTGCTAGACTTGGCCTTCAGGCCTCCGCCCAACAATGCCCTAGCCACCCGGTGCTGGACTTGGCCCTTCAGGCCTCCGCCCAACAATGCCCTAGCCACCCGGTGCTGGACTTGGCCCTTCAGGCCTCCGCCCAACAATTTTGAATTGAAGGGGAAAGAAACACTGTTTATGCTATATGAAATAACGAATAGCAGAGTAATTGAACGGATTTATATATACCTTGAGATAAATGTCAATTGCACGGTAAAGACCATCGTCCAATGCCCTTGCATATTCAGGAACAGCAGCAGCAAGAGACTGAAACTTGGGAAGCTTCAAATTAACATCTGGGGCAACCTCGGCAAGGTATCCATCGATTAGTTTAGCTACCGTAGTTATCGGTGTAAGTGATGGGGACCCCATCAGTTGTGCATCATCAATTGAACAAGGCGATTCACCGCCACCCACTTGCTCCGTTGCCAAGAAGTGCTCAAGAATCCTTTGGGCACAGTCAACATTGTACAATGTCTCCATGGAATGAGAGAAATTAGGCATCAAGAGATCTTCGAGTGTGGCCTGGTCAAGCTGCATCCCTATCCTTTTCTCTAAGTTTGATATCCGAGAGGGGCTTGCTCGAAGAATCATAGCAGTTCTAAGAAGACCAAAGAGGAATTTGGTTGGGACTAGGCCTTTTTGCATAGGAAGTAAGCTATCTATCTCTTCGAGCAAAACCTTCTGCTCATCTTCAGATAGTGAGGATCCCAGACTCATTGATCCAAGACGGCTACTGGATTCATTAGTGCTTTGGCGTCTATTTACCCCGGGTAGGTACTTTTTCGCATAATAAGTAAGGGAACCGGCAATTATCTCCTCTTTGATGCCACGAGACTCCATAGCTGAAACCAGTTTTTTATAAATAGGTAAGCTTAATGTTGACGCATCCTCGTACCACCAATCTGAACTTGAATTTTTGGGCCTTGCACCAGTGCTTATTCCATTCCACAACACACTTCCACCGGGACTCTGCATGGGCCCACCATGCTCCGTTATTGGCCATCCAAACAGATTAGGGTCAGTACACGCCTTTGCAGCCAACGAATCGATGCACCTTTTCGTAATATGGAGTTGCTCAGCATAAGTGCTAACATCATCGCACGATTGGAGTGCTTTCAAAGAGTCTTTCCAGCTACGTAGAACTACTTGATTTAGAAACATTTCAGTCGTCGAAATAAGATTCCCCTCCCCGTACTCTTCGCTCATCTCAAGATGCTCGGCAGCACACCGAAGGTACACAACATTTGCTGCAGTAAGTTCGAGCTTTACCCCGTAACAAAATTTAGCCACTAGCTCAAACGTTTTATCCCCACCCGGAACATCAGGAAGTTTAATAATACAACCATTTTCTCCTTCCGATGCTTCTGCAATAAGTCTTTCCATAACTCCACTTCTTGAAAGCAACGGGAACTGCATGCAATAAAATGTGGGTTGGCTCTGATACCAAATTCAAGTAAAAGCCTAAGCTGATAGTTGGATTGCACATTTATGTTTATATATTATATATATGCTCAACTGTGCGCATTTTACCTTGTGAAGATGGAAGGACATTTCCCCAACTTCAACAACAATATCGCTTGGGAGACCACTTGTGCAGAACCTGTGGGCGAATTATTGCAGAATTAATTAATTTCGAGAGACAAATGCGCATATTTCACAATTCACATGAAGCATGTCAAACATAGTCTAAAGTATTTCGGGCGTTTCTACTTGAAAAATGCCACAAGTAAATTAATCCCCTACATAATATTAGTCCCGAACCAATTAATTCCACTAGTTTAAGTATGTCTCCTTCGGCCATTTACCACTAAAGCTCACTATAAGCTATCAACAGACATTGCAGAATGGAATTGAAAAGCAAAGAAATACAGTTCCAAGTCTTATGCAGCTTAAAAAATCTATATTACCCTGCCAACAAGTACATATACGGCCTTTACGCTTGGATCAACCCTCGTCCCTCGTATCCATCAAAATTTTCAGCATGACACCATTATTAGGACTCTGTATTCTATTCACATTAGAATTCATTCTTCCTCTCACTGTATTATTGTAAATCTATGTTCTATCATTCTTGACTTGACTAGCACTAATCGTACTCTTATAAATACATCTCTTCCTGTATTCTGTAATTTGGATTGACCAATAGTACAATTCTTCCCAAAACTATTGTTCTCATATGGTATCAGTAGAGACAAGTGTTGCAAAAATCGCGCCTAGGCGCTAGGCGGTCAGCCTCCTAGGCGCCCTAGGCGGTCCTCCAGGCGCCCTAGGCGGTCCTCCAGGCGCTTAGCGATTTTTTCAACATTGGTAGAGACCTAACAATCCATGACTGCCAACCCTACCACCGCTGGCGGCTGGTGAAACCGCCACCACCGCGGCACCGCCTCCTCACTATTATGTCCCTAAAACCGAGGACAATACCTGAGCTTCAAAGGATAACCCAAATGCAGGGTAGAATCAGGTTCAAATCCCAACTTAATCACACTTCAACAGCTCCAGCTAAAGTAATATTCATATAATACAAACATACCAGCACCCTCCACCCAAACCCCCTGCCCTTACAACAACTAAACAAAAACTCAAAATCTGGGAAAATATACACATGAGAAACACTAGAATTCAACTGAGGCTGCCAAGAATGAACAACAATTTGAATAACAAGGCACAATCTACAGATGCATTTAGCAGTAAAGAAGTGCAAATCTCTCCCTCTCTTTCTCTCTCTGGAAGCATACAGAAAAATTAGAAGAAAACCCATAAAATTGAAGCAAAAAAAAAAAAAAAAAAAAAAAAAAAAAACAAACAAACTTGAAAATTGCAAGTTGAAACTTGAAAAAACTTTTACCATGCTTGCCCTTTCCTCTGGAACGCATCTGTTTTTGATCCCAGCTTCATACAAGCCATCTCTCCACAGTCCACAGTGCTACTCCTAACCTAAGCTTCCTCAATTTCACCCACAAAAATCAAAATCTTCAACCTCGAAACCCAATCTCTCAAATTCTTGAACGAATGGAGAAATTGGAGACACCCAATCCTCAAAGACACCAACTGTTAACAAAAACACTCAACAAAACCCTCAAATCGATCATTGAAACCACTCCAAACACTAATACGCCAATGTAGCAAATATACTAAATGCCCCCACTTGTGAATAAACCCAAAAAATCTCTGTTTGGGAAATTTTAGGTCAACTCCTCTGACACATCCACTTTCCTTTTAACCACCAGAAGATTCCAAAATACAACTCTTCAAGCTCAATTTATTATGAGCGCTATAAAATGGGTAAAGTATAAAGTATAAACGGCAGCTAAGAAAGATTAAACAACCCACAAGCATACTCTCTCACTTACTCTCATGTTCTTGTGGGTCCTTTACTCCTTTACTTTAAGGTGTCTTAGGTAGGAAATCCAATAATCAAGTTATCAAACCAGTTTTATGAATTTATTCTAGGATGCTTTTATTTTTCCTCTTTTTTTTTCTAAAAAAATCTTTTGAATTATAAAAATTACTTTGTTGGTCTTATTTTATGTCTCTAATTCAGTTAACCTGACTTATTTAAACTATTTTTAATTTAATTTTTTATAATGTTAAGTTTGATATTAATATTTAAAATTTATATATTTAGTAATTATATTAAAAATATTATTAAATTACCAAAAAAATAACATTTTGGTCCCTCAATTGTTTCCCAACTATTAATGTAGTCCATAATTTTCAATTTCAACAAATTTGATCATCGAATAGATTAAAATTTCATCAATTAAACCATTTCAGGGACCAAATTGACAAAATTTAAAAAATGTGAAAATCACCAGTTTGGTCCCTGAAAGGATTTAATTAGCCAAATCTTAAACAATTCGAGAATTAAATTAGTCAAAATTAAAAACTATGAACTATATTGACAGTTGGAAAACAATTGAGGAACCAAAATATTAATTAACTCATACAAAAAATAATAATTTTAAAATACTAAAGAAAATAAGTAAAAAAAAAAAAAACAATAAAGAGTTTATTTTATCAATAAATTATAAATTGGACATGTAAAATGAGATAAAAGGAGTAGTAAAAGTGTCCCTAATTACTTAAGGAAGTTGTTTATTTAGTCTTTATTTTAATGAATAAAGTTATTTTAGACAGAAAATTGAATAATACAAATATAAAAATAAAAAAATATATATTTTCAATATGATTTTGTTGGACAAAAATCTAAACAACGTTGAGCAAGTTCCTACTACCATTAGAGATTATCTTCATGAATCATTTAGTAGTTTGGAAGGAAAAAAAAACATTTTTTAGTGTTTAGGGTATTCAAAATTTGAGAATTAGAATCTTTAATAATTGAAAGAAATAGGTGTAGCATTCAGAATTATTAATTTGCTTTCAATTATCACTCATGTCAAAAATTATGTGTGAATTTTTCATCTGAAATAACGAAATTTATCATAACAAAAATTAAATAGTCACCTTTTTGACTAATTAAAAAGTACTATTAAAACTTCATATTAATTAGAAGCGAATATTACACTAAAAAATTTGAATGATTTTTCTTTTTTACAAACGCAAGTGTAACTTGCATTTGTCGTATGTCGCAAGACAAACGTAAGTTGTACTTGCGTACATTTTTACCGACAAACACAATTATGTCATATTTGAGGCGAAAAAAGAAAAAAAAAATCGGAAAAACAGATTAGTTCGGGACTTGCGTTTATTATCATAAACTCAAGTCCCAAACAAATTTTTTCTAAATTTATTTTTTTCAAATTTGTCTAGCTTTTAAAAGTATGTTATTTTTGTCCAAATGTTTTAATGTTTTAATTCCTTCAACATGGCGTTTGGTTGGAGGGGGGAAATTATGTGGGAAATGAATTGTAATTCCATGGGAGTTGAATTACTGGGAATAAAGTGGGAATTTAAATTACAGTGTTTGGTTGACAGGAATAGAATTACTGGGAATTTCAATTCCAATGTTTGGTATACATGGGAATTGAAAGGGAATAAGTAGTATAAAGTCCATTATTGTTGTTAGACATTAATTTTAGATTAAAAAGGGAAGAGATAATTTTGACTCATCACTATCTTTTTTTCTTAGGAATTAAAATCCCAGGGGGGACATGGGATTTTAATTTCATGAAAATGGAGGAATTGCAATTCCCTCGAACCAAACTACGGAATTTAATGGCCTTTGAAATTATATGGGAATTAAGTGGGAAGGGAATTTAAAATCCCTCCAACCAAACGCCCTGTAAAAGATAAAACTCGGACTCAAACTACAATTATGCCATTTGAATCTTTATTATCATGAAATTGGGGTGAGTATCTTTGAAAGTCACATCCATCTGTTTTGTCCAGCCAGGCCATGTGGATGCCTTCCTTTGTCTTTGTATTTAATTTGATTTTTCCTTTTTGTTCTTTTTCTCTTTTTCTTTTTGTTTTAGTGCAATGAATGATGAATCCAATATTGTGAACGTGTGGAGATATGGTCTCCGGCGAGGTGTATGTTCAACGTTGTCACGGGGAAAAAGAAATATTTTCAAGTGTCATTGTTCGAATTTGTGTGAATGAGATTAGAGAGGATGGGATTTTTGTGCTTCTACTTATATTTGATGTGTAATTGATGGTACATTTTGTAATTAAATTTATTTTCCATTTAAAGGCGACCAAATAAAAATGATTAATATAAAAAATTTGAGAAGATTTCCATACTAGCGGTGATACGTGTAAGAAAAATGAGAACAAATGATTTACATTATTGAGAAAGGTTACAATAAATAGTGTGTATAGACCAAGAAAAATATATAACAGATACAACCAGAATAAAAAAGGTCTAAATTACAACAACTAATCATAAAAAAAATAGCAAAGAAGTAAAATATAATTACGAAGATAGTCAGCCACTAATAGTATCTTTAACATGCCCCACAAGATGGAGACATCGTCAGAGACTTCAATCTTGTCCCTGAACTCCATGAACAACCAACTGCTAAGCATCTTCGCAAGCATGTCAACAACTTAATTAGAAGAGGGCACATGCACAACCCGTAAAGATCCCTTCATAACACGCTTCATTACAAAAAAAAAAAAAACAAAAAAAAAAAAAAAAAAAAACAAACAAACAAACAAACAAAAAAAAAAAAAACAAAACAAAGTGCAAGGTGCTTCATCCGGGAGTGGAATACTGGATTTTGACAAACATACGTGGCACTTAAATTGGTGATACCATAGTGTATAATCTGGACTGATGAGGTACGCGCCTCATCATAAAATTTTCTCAGAGCACTCTTCACGCCATCAACATATTTGGATATATCAAGTCCAATTAAAACAGACTCCACCTGTGTTTTCCATACCAGCTAATTGGAAGATGTTAATTAGTTTTATGGGGAAGTGAGATGGGGCAGTGATTTGAATAACAATAATAATAATAATAATAATAATAATAATAATAATAATAACAATAACAACAATAACAACAATAACAATAACAACAATAACAATAACAATAACAATAACAACAATAACAATAATAACAATAATAACAATAATAATAACAATAATAATAATAATAATAATAATAATAATGGTGTTTTCTGAAACTACAACCATTGATAACTAGTAAAAGGGATTGGGAGGAAGAGAAAAAAAAAAACTCGCGAGAGTGATCAAGACTCTGATACCATGTAAGAGAAATGAGAACTGATGATTTACATTGCTGAGAAAGGTTACAATAAATAGTGTGTACAGTCGTACAGACCAAGAAAATAAATAGCAGAGACCAAGAAAATAAATAGCAGATACAACCATAACATAAAAGGTCTAAATTACAACAACAAATCCTAAAGAATAGCAGAGAAGATAGTCAGCCACTAATAGTATCTTTAACAATACGATAGCATGTCGTTATCATTTTAATTATATATTTATGGATCACACTTGTGTGAGATCATTTCACAGATTTTTATACGTGAGACGAGTCAAGTTGGTTCAAATCAATATGTAAATGTAATACTTATACTAACAAATGTAATACTAAATCAGGAATAAAATGTTTATTACTTATAAAGGAAAACATAATATTTTGATGACAAGTGTAATATTTTTATATTTTGATATAAAAGTATTACTTTTTATAATAAAAAAAAAGTATTATATTTCCACTAAGTAATGTTGCACTTATAAAGAAAAATATAATACTTTTGATGAAAAATGTAATACTTTTATATCAAAATGTAAAAGTATTACATTTCCCTCAAAAGTATTACATTTTCCCATATAAATAATAAACATTTTATTTCTAATTTAGTATTACATTTGCTAGTATAAGCATTAAATTTAATATTGACCCGACCCGTCTCATGGACAAAAATTCGCGAGACAGTCTTACACAAGTTTTTGCCCATATTTATTATTTAATTGCCCTAATTTTTTCGTTTATTTTATTTAACATTTTTTGAGAAAATAAAAAGATGTATTAGGCTATTAGCCATAAACATTGGAGTTTGTAGCTTCATAAACAGAGGGAAAAGGAATGAAAGACTATCACATACAATCTGACCTAAAAATGATGACAATATTCCTAAGTGATCCAAATATCCTTAAGAATTGAAGTTCACAACATATACAAATTAAAACGATTGAATTTACAATTTTCTTCTTCCTTAAATTATTTGCATTTTTATTTAAAAAAAAAAAAAAGAAAAAAAAAAGAGGGAGACAAAACTATCTGTGTGCGGATATAGTCCCAACCACTTCCACCGGCATATATGATTATATTATCCATGATCCTGAATGATTAAGGTTTGGGAATTGTTTCAAAGAATAGTTTATGGGTAATCAGCAAATGTTAGACTGGGAGCAGATTAAAGGTTGGAATCTTTTTATGGTAAGAGTAGTAATAATGTTGCTTCCCTTTTAGGTTACGGCATGCCACACCCAAGGCGCCTTGAGATTGGCGCGCCATGGACGACGCCGACAGCTCCGTCTCCCCCCCGCGCCTATAATATAAAGCTGCTGCTCCCGCGTGATGAACTCCACCACTCGACCCCGCCGGTCCTGTCCACCCGCCTCGAACCCCGGATCGGAGCTGCATGCCCGTTAGTCGTGACCCACTCTCTTCATTTTTCACTATTTTATAAGGGACCTAATCTTTTATTTTAATAAAACAATTAAGATGTGAGAAATGATGCTGTAAAATCATTACTTATCAATTCTTTTTATAAAAGATAGTTAATGGGATAATGGTTAAATAGACCATCAAATTATATGTTAAAGTATAATTAGACTCTCAAATTTTTTTTTTTAAATCTTCATTTAAACACTTACTTGCCATCTTACGTGAAATCATATCCAGATTAAAAAAAAAAAATTATTTTTGTTGTTAAAAAAACTTTTCGGCGAAGGAGAAGCCGCCCCCGATCTAACTCAGCTACCATGGACGACTGGTCGACTACCATGGCAAATTGTTTGTCTATGTATTTATTTTTAAAAAATTAATATAATTATTTTAATTTTTAAATTAAAAAACATTCATCTACGCGGCAGAGCAACATGTTATTATAGGTCAAATGGGTTAATTGTATTTTAACAAGTTTAAGGGTTTAATTGAAGTTTTTTTTTTTTTTTTTTTTTTTTTTTTTTTTTAGTTCGATGATCTAATTGCACTTCGGTATATAATTGTGGGTTGTATTTGACTCTTACCCTAGTACTTAATTCATGAGTTAATTCCACCAGAGGTCCCTTGTCTTTGGTGGCAATTCCAAATTTAGTCACAGATTATCGTTTTTGCCATTTAACATCCTAGACTATTATTTTTTGAACACTTTTAGTCATTCTCATGACTTTTTCTATTTTTAGTAAGGGCATTTTCGTCTTTTCATATTTTTCTTTTGTTATTTTTTTGATTTCAACCGGTTTAATTGATTTAGAACTTTAAGTAACCTCTGATTTTTAGTAACTATATTTTTCAAACAGTTTTTAGTAAAGTCCTAAACAAGGGACCTCTGGTGGAATTAACTCTTAATTGATTAACAATTAATGAAAGTAAAAAAAAAAATTAATATCATGTTAAGATGTAAACTTTTATGAGAAATTTAAGAAGGAAAATTAAATTTTTACTTTTATGAGAAATTTAAGAAGGAAGATTAATTTTTTTAAAAAAGTTATTTTATTGATTAACTAGTATAAAATTTATGTTATGCTCCAATAATGACTTTCAAAATTATAGTTTAATACATTGCACATGACTACATGTTAAAATTTTGTTCTCAAAAAGCATTTTATGATGGTCAATTAATAAAAAAAATGTATTGTCACTAAATATATATCGGTCAGGTTCTACATAGTATTATGAACCCTGGATTAAAACGACGTCATTTTGATATTTACATTTTAACGGATTCTGTAATTTCTCGTTTCTCATGTTTCTATACAAATTTTAATTTATTTTAGGTACAAAATCAATACTCTTAAGGTATAGAATTTCATATATAACACGAGACACAAAAATTTACACAACAAGACACATAGACATGTTATATATTTGCTTATTCTCAAATCTAATTTATGTAGATAATTTATGTCCTATAAGTACATTATTTCATAATACAAGACATAAATTCGTAAAATAAGACACAATATATTATGTGTTACACAACTACGAATCTATAAAGATTGCTAAATATCAGGATCTTTGAGGCTGACTTTCTAATTCCCTCTTTATTTTTCTAGATTTGTGTACTAATTGGGTAACCCCATTGGGTCGATTGGCCTATGCACTTGGCTCATATGGTGTTAAAGCCTTTATGCTCGACATATCAACAATATGAAAGCCGGTAGGCTACAACCAAAGAGTTAGAGCCTAAACCCATGTTTACATGGTTAAGAACTTAAAGATTTAGGGTGTGTTTGGTTGGTGGTTTTGTCCATTGGAATGGGTATGAAAGTGATTGTTGTTGTTTGGTTGATTGGTTTTTAGTATACTACTATGGGTTTCGAATTGAATACCCCATCAATTGAAAAACTCATACCCAAATACAATAAGGGTTTTATTCCCTTATTCATTCTCAACCACTACTATTAGTAACCATTCTCATTCCACCCTACTACCAAACATGTTAAATATTTTCACCAAAACCCATTACCATTATCAAGTATTTGATACCCATTCCGATTCCGATTCCTTTTTGTGAACCAAACACACCCTTAGTGTAAATTAGTCAATAAGTTGGTCAAACAATTACTTAGTAACCGCAAAATTCTAACTTCGATTCTCTGTAAAATTTGTTTATTAGCAACTTAAGTTAATTTACCTTCAATTATTATATTAGGACCAATGTTCATCTTGTATTGTAGGCTTTGTTACAAAAATTATATATTTGAAGTTAACATATTCCATACTTGCAATTAGTAATTTATGTGTCTGTAAATAAATTGAAAGCACGAAACATGTTAACTATAGAGACATAAAATTGTAACTAAGCTACAAAAACATAAACTATTGTCTGCATGTACATAATATATGTTTTTTTTTTTTTTTTGAAAACTACATAATATATGTTAATTGGACAAACATAATATATTTTCAATGTTATGTGGCCTTCAATTTATTTATAGACATATAAATTGTTAGCTACAAATACAAAATATGTCAACTGTAAGTACATAATCTGAAAATTATTTTGAATTAGAGTCTACAATGCAAGGTAGATCATAATATATGGTATAATTTGACAATTTATTTCCTTGTGATACGTCTTTTATTTAATAGATAGGATCATAAAGTGAACTTTACCCAAATCAAAATAATATCTTAATTCAATCCCAAAACACATTTATAAATTTAGTTGTTTAATTTTATTGTGTTAAAGAATAATTTCTTTTTGCTCAAATTGGGACACTTCTCCAATTACAGAATCCATACTTGGGGAAAGACAAATGATGCAACTTCTGTCCTTCAACTCCATGCCGTATGTACACTTTTTCCCATAGGAACTCCATAGCTCCCAAGCTCACAAACCACTATGCACATGTACTCATTATTAATCAATATAGTGATATTATCAAAACTAGTAGGTGCACCCGCGCGATGCGCGACTATATATATAGTATGATATATATACAGTATAGAATATAGTTATTTGAACCTGTAAATTAAAAATGTGAAATGAAAAGTTGTGATTTTATTACACATTGATGAATATAGTAGTTTTATTATATATTAAGGGACACTACCTATATAGTACATAGAATATTACGTATAATATAATAAGAATAAGAAACATAATAAGAAACGTATTATTTTGCACAAATACTAAATTTTAAATAATAAATTGTTGAATGTTATTATACATTATTGAAGACTTCTTTGTACACAACATTTTTAGTCGTACTAAGACATGATACACTTTCCCCGCAAATCAAAATTTTCAAACCCCTGGGGTTACTAACTCTTGAAACAGCTACGTATAGTTGTCCATGGTTAAAGACCGGTTTTTTCAACAACAACCCAACTTTAGCAAGCGTTTGTCCTTGACTTTTGTTGATTGTCATGGCATAGGATATCATCAAAGGAAATTGCTTTCGTTGAAATTTGAAAGGCAATCTTGGATCTGACGGTGTAAGTGACATCCTAGGGATCAATACTCTGGTTCCTGCATTTGTACCGCACATGATTTTGCCTTCCAACACATGGTCAGCCAACCTTGTAACAATCAACCTTGTACCGTTGCATAATCATAATGTGTGATCAATATTTCGCAATAGCATAACAGGTGATCCAACTTTCAATGTCAATGTATGATTTGGTACTCCAGAACATCTGAAGGCATTCAAGAATTCGGGAGTGTGCAAATCGGCTAACATGTCAACATTGGCATCTGACTTACACACAGAATCACAACTCAAGTATGTCTTACCCTCAGAAGGATTATGATCATTCATGTATTGGTTAACGGCATCTACCACATCCAATGTTGGAGCTAAAATTGCACTATGATTAAGATATGACAAATCGACAATTCCCAGTCGGAAATTGGGGAAAGTGCTATCAACAATTGTAGCAATAGGGTCATCTTCGCACTTCAACAACAAATCTTCTGGAACAGTAATCTCTGACTCCCCCTCAAGTTGACACCCTATAATTCCATTTCACCTATATTAGCTATCCATTTTGCAAATTCCTCGATCTCCTTGCACTCGGTTTCTGATTGAACACTCTTCAAACGTAGATTCTTAGTCAGCCTTAGGACTTTACAGGATTTCCATAGATAGGATGAGCTAATGCTCGCTCTAACTATATCCGGTCTAGTACCCTTTAGAATGACTGGTAAAATTTGCCTGAAATCGCCCCCCAAAACAACTGTCTTACCACCGAATGTCATATTAGAACTCATTGGATTTATGAAGCGCATCAAATCCCGCATAGTTCGATCTAGGGCTTCAAAGCAGAATTTATGCATCATGGGGGCTTCGTCCCATATTATCAACTTTGTTTGCACAAGAAGTTCCGCCAGTTCACTGCTGTTACGTATGTTGCATGTGGAATCTTCATTAACAGATATCGGAATAGCAAACCGAGAATGTGCCGTCCTGCCACCGGGCAATAAAAGCGAAGCTATGCCGCTAGAAGCTACATTTAACACTATTTGACTCTTAGACCTTAATGCGGAAGAGAGTGCTCGCCACAAGAAAGTCTTACCTGTCCCTCCATAACCATAAACGAAGAATAACCACCCTTCCTGGCGATCCACGTCAGTTAACACTTCATTGTATATTGCCTTTTGTTCGTCTGTTAACTGCCTTACCAATTCTTGATTCTCTTTCTCCCGTTCGGCACAATCGTATGCTAATTCTTCTTGAATAAATCTGTTTGCAATAACATTTAAGGCACCAAAATTTGCAGTTGGCATCTCAGGATAGTCCTTCAAACTCTTACCATGATTAGATAATAACTTCTCAATCTATACTAAAGCAAAGTTCATTTTGTGCGAATCGGTCAACACAAAATCTGCATAAATATATATAAAAATTTGATGTTATAACATAAGTACGTTAAACTCGACTTAATATTTTTTAAAAAATGTACGAACACGAACACGAACACGATAAGGCTAAACACGGACACGACACGTTATGGTTAACGGGTTCAAATTTTTAACACGAACACGAACACGATTTATTGACGGGTTAAACGGGTTGACACGATAGACACGTTTTGTTAACAGGTTACAAGTCGTGTCGACACGTTATGACACGAAACCCGTTTAAACCCGCTATTTTTATTAATATATTTAAAAAAACTAAAATTTAAAGTTAAGTTCTATAAAAAAAAAAAAAGAAATAAAACCTACAGTTCAATTCATCAAACAAACTAAAAAATATTCAATTCATAACATTCATAACATAATAAAATAACATCCAAAAATCATAATTAAAGGAGTCTATACAAGTTTTTAGAATAAAATTGAACACAGTCAAAAATCAAATTTCAAATTGTTGAACATCAATAATTGGTGTAGAATCTTGGCCTAATGTAATAAATTCATCCTTAGTCATGTACATAATATCTTTTGTAATCACAATAATGACAATGGTTCTTTCATAAATGACAATGATTTTTAGCGGGTTATAAACAGGTTTGGTAAACGGGTTCGTGTTAACGGGTTAACACGATAATATTAACGGGTTAAGCGGGTTCTTAATAGGTTTAACGGGTTGACCCGTTAACACACGAAGAATAACGGGTCCTTAACGGGTCAACCCGTTAACAACCCGGGACACGTTAAGGCTAAACACTAACCCGTTATTTTCGTGTTCAGTTTCGTGTCGTGTTAACAGGTCGTGTCCATAATTGCCAGGTCTACCAGCTTGGACATCAGGTGCTTTGGAGAGATGCAAACTGAGTAAAAGAAGATTGTGCAAATAGGTAATTGGAACTAACTCTATTTTTTAGGCAGAATATATTTAGATATAAAGTCTTAGAATTGCAAACTGAGTAAAAGAAGATTGTACAAATAGGTAATTGGAACTAACTCTATTTTTTAGGCAGAATATATTTAGATATAAAGTCTTAGAATTGCAAACAGAGTAAAAGAAGATTGTGCAAATAGGTAATTGGAACTAACTCAATTTTTTAGGCACAATATATTTAGATATGAAGTCTTAGAATTGGAATATTACTTACAAACTCTAACATGTAATTGAACATATAAAAAAACACAACTACAAAGTCTAAGTTGGTTGCCAAACTATTTCCATCCTGTCTGCCTTCTAAAACCTTGGCCACCTGGCATCCTTGCTAAACTTGGACACCTTTCATCCTTACTCTTAACAACATGAAAGGAAAAGTAGAAAAACTGCAAAACAGGTTCTAATAGCAGTATATACACCAATGTATTGTACTAAACAGTTAGGCAATAACTAAAAACATTAGATAAAAGTTGTAAAACATCCCAAAAACTGAAAATAAGAAAGTTTCACATCACAGTCTTAGGAAAATAAAAAAAAATGTCTGGATAATGTCCGGCCAACAACAAACACTTTCAACCATCAATGTCAATTACAACTTTTCCTTTTTGATTTCTAAGTCATTCAACTTCTTCCTACTTTTGGATGATGAAAACTCATCCAAAAGTGACCTTTTAATAGCCCCAGAGTTTTCAGCATTGTCTTCTCCTTCCTTTTGCGAGGGCTGGACAGTGGCAGGGCTATTCACTTCAACTCTAATAGAATCTTCCTATTAGTAAGTAAAGCAGAAAAGCCTATTAGTAACCAATAAAAAAAAACTCATAGACTTTAGGGTTTATAATTCTTACTCCAGAAACTGCATCGGTGTTAGTTTCCTCCTCAATCATCCTTGAAATTAAGTCTTGCTCTTCATGCTCCACAAACCTGTCAGCATAGGTCTTAAGCAAGTGCTCATCCATTACAACTCTAACAACATTGAATGGGTAATTGGGGCCCATCTTTTGAGCCAATTTGAAGTTGATCTTAAACAGCATCTTCATTCCAACTATAGCATCCAATTCAGGTGGCACTTCAACATCAAGCTGTTTAGATAGGTGATAAATAACAAAATTAAAAACATATAATATAAACAGTTTAGGAAAAAAAATGTAGACATTAAATTATAAGAATTTACCTCCTTGTATTTTGCGTACAAAATAGAGGCAGGAATACCCACAAGCTCTGTAACTTCCCTATCCCAAAGCAACATTGGAGCATCTCCAGATTTGTCAAGAGCAATAACAACTACTTTGTACCTAACTATACCCATCATACAAGTCTTTTTACACTTAGTACAAAAAAGAGTCCCTTCCTGTTCTTTAAGCTTCTTATTACATCCAAGTTTCAGGCACGATAGGTAGTACCAACCATCCTCAAAATCTAACCCAAGAATCTCAGCAGCAACATAGTAGTCCCCATCCTATAGTATACAAATAATTTTGTAAGTATATATATTGCACTTACCAAATTCAGTTACATCAAATAAAAGAAAGAATTGCTAGCTTAGTGTGTGGATTACCTCTTTCACCTCCTTAATATCATGACAGTTAGTGACAATAACAGCAGCATTATTAAAATCACTAATGCCTGTAGAGTTGGAATGCAGTGTGCCAGTACTGAGACTCCTCATTGGAGTACCCTGAGCTTTCATGCTTCAAAAACATTAGAAACTTGGTTAGATGTGTCTAAAACACCCTACAACAATACAGTAGACAACATTTAAAATATCTATCTTATTTTTTGATTGGTAGTTGAGTAAAGTTGAAGAAATGCATACACTGTACAGCATGGTATTTCAATATATATACACAGTACAGTGTATATGGCATAACTAAAATCCAGTATGGTATTTCAATATATATAATCCAGTATTCAGATGTTAAAAAAAAATATATGGCATAACTAAAATCAGAAGTACAAAGTAGAGCACACATTAATAAAGATACAAAAAAAAAAAATAGAAGAAATCTAAAAGATGAACTTACTTTGACTTAAACTCTTTAAACTCTTCCCACTCCTCATTAAACCACAGCTTCGTCGCATCATAGGAACTGGTTATTCTCACTTCACCTAAAAAAAAATATAGAATAGATGCATGTATTTTAAGATATATAGTATGATATATATACAGTATAGAATATAGAGTATTTGAACCTATAGATTAGAAGAGAAAACAGTATAGAAACTCACCACCCACAACTTTGGCCCTACAGCATTAAATGACAACAATCAGTAGTTCTTTCGAATCACTATTGTAAAAAGGCATCAGGGAAGAAACATGCTCATTCCAGAGTGTACACATCATGGTGTTATCACTGGATTAGAAACAAAAAAAACACAAAAGTATGAAAAAAAAAAAAAAAAGCGCATCATTTTCGAATGTAATCAAATTTATTTTAAAAAACTTACGCATTGTCTTCAATTTGAAAGTCGATTAGTTTGGTGGCCTTTCCCCCTACAATCTTGTCCACAGGATTGTGAATCTCAATTACCCTTCCAATAACATCTGCAAAATGAACAAAATATTAGCAAGAACTACTAAAAGTAGAATAAAGAACATATTAGCAGTTAGGAAAGGTAAATTTAGTACCAATCAGCTCCTTGTCATTCACATCATCAGGATCTTTCAAAGCCAAAAAATTCTTTAATCTAAACATTTTGCAAGGAAAGCCAGTAGAATGTATTTCCTTCACTTGTGTTCTGTAGTTAAATTTGAGCATGAAACCATGCTCTGTAATCTTGTAGACATAATAGTTTGTAGAGGCCATGAAGTTCTTTATTTCAAAAATTTTCCCTTCCTTGATTGTATCTCTATACTTTACAATGTCTTTCTTGATGATACTCGCATGAATGTAGTCTCCCTGCGAATACAATAGGAAAAAAAATTTAGACAGCAAAACAGTTTAGGATGAGTAGATAACATGGCATGAAAGTAGCTTAATTGAAAGACCATTAGATGAGAAGATTATAGACAGCAAAACACACTAAGATTATTAGATAACATGGCATGATTAGTAGACAAAATCAGATTGGCAAATAGATAAAATTACCTCTTCATCATGGAACAAAACTTCCATGCTCTTACTCACCTGCCCCTCTCCCCTTTTCTCAGGAACTTCATACACACGAACTGCTCTCACTCGTATTGCCCTTTGCTGGTGTTCCGGCTTAATGTTTCTGACAGCAATGAACATGGAAGGCATGTTGAAACACCAAAAGTGGCTTTCGAAAAGGCAGTAAAGTGTGAGAATTTTCTGAAGTGTTCTGCCATGAAGAAGCCCGGTATTTATACATACTGAAGATTCAAAAAAAAAGAAGATACCGGCATTCTATGTTTGAGAAATCGCACATCTCAATTAATGTGAATTTGAATATTGCAACTCTGCATATTCTATGTAATCTATGTAATGTATGTAATATATATAATTCTTTCTCGTAGGCCGTAGCAGTTCATTATGCTTTGTAGATATTTATAGTAATGATCTTGTTTACAATACCAAAGAGTTCTACATTAATTGAACTCCTTGGGAACCAAGGACTATATAATAATAAGAACGGCTAGGCATATTCCCAAGAGGGAATCCCATTACACGCGCACAATAAAGAAGGAGCTAATTCGATATTCATGACTCCACCAAAACTGTGTCGTTTTCACTGGGCGGGAAACAATGATTGGCAAAACTTCTTGCTTTATTATAGAGTTAGATAATAATAATAATAATAATAATAATAATAATAATAATAATAATAATAATAATAATAATAATAATAATAATAATAATAATAATAATAATAATAATAATAATCAATATAGTGACTCTTTCATATTTTTATGTAAAATATGTTTTTTTTTTTAAAATCCATATTTATATATGCTTATCATACATGATCGTGTGCACACTATTTAGTTTATGTTGGAGCTAATGATATCAAGTAGGTTAGATTGACTACCTACATGGGTTAGCACTGGAATCCTAAAACTACTAAGAAGAAATCCATACATGATTGGCTTGGAGTTGTCGAGATTTCAAAAGACAATGTCAATCCTCTTGTAGAAGTGGAATCTTTGAAATATAATGGCTTAGGAGTGTGGTTACTTCTTGTATGAGATGAGAAACATATATTTATGTTTCATGTGGTGAAGTCTTGAGGGTCTAGCTAAAGACCTATCTTCACGAAGAAGAAAATGAAGAAAACATGGGTTCGTGTTATGTGACACTCTGAGCCGTCTAAGATGAGGAAACATGACATCAAGAAGAAGTGATGTCGATTTTCGTTTCAAATTACTTTGTGCGATGAAGTTACCGCTGAGGGAGAAGATGAAGAAGAGGCGGCCCAAGAATTAGAAGAGGGGGTACGAGCCGTAGTGGACAAGTTGAAGGAGATCGATCTAGGAACTTTTGAGAATCCTTGACCTATCTTTATCAATGCACTTCTTTAATTATGATGAAGATGAAGAAATCTATGTTGCATTGTTCAAGGAATATATTGATATCTTTCAATGGACATATAAGAAGATGCCAGATTTAGACCCGAAAGTGATTATCCGGAGCAATGACGCTTTTGCCCGAAACTTATTCCCTTTGGTTTGAAAAATGTTGGCGCTACATTTGATGACATGATCTATAAAATGGTGGAATGCTATGTAGATGACCTAGTGATAAAGTCAAAACTCTACACAGATCATTTGATGCATTTAAGGCAAGTCTTTGACCGATTGCAAAAGTTTCAACTAAAAATGTACCTCTTGAAATGTGCTTTTGGGGTTGCTGCTAGAAAATTCTTTGGGTTCATTGTTCAACATAGAGGCATAGAAATCAAGCAAGATAACATGGATGCTATATTGAAGATGATCGAACAAAGAAATCTTCATGAACTTAAAAGCTTACAAGGGAAGTTGATTTACATCCGAAGGTTCATATAAAATCTAGCAGGAAGATGTCAACATTTTAGTCGGTTAATGAAAAAGGTATCATGTTCCTATGGGATGAGGTATGCAAAATGCATTTCAAAGTATCAAGTCATATCTAATAAAGTTGCCCGTGCTGATTGCTTCAATTTTTGGTCGCCCATTGGTCATTTATATCTTTGCCCAATAAAGCTTTGTGGGTGCCTTGTTTGCACAAGGAAATGACAAGGGGAAGGAAAATGTTGTTTACTATTTAAGTAGAATGGTGACACCAAACGAGTTGAAATATTTCTTAATTGAGAAGTTGTGTTTGGTACTCGTATTTGCAATTAAACACTCAAGCACTACTTTTAAACTCATACTATCTAGGTCGTTTCTAGAGCAAATTTGGTGAAGTATCTCATGACAAAGGTTGCTCGCTCTGATCACCTCGCAAGTTGGTACTTGTTGTGTTAACAATTCAAGATTGTTTATGTGCTATAAAAGTTTGTCAAGGGGCAAATTTTAGTTGATTTATTAGTAGATCACCCAATACTCGATGAATAGGAGTTATATGATGATCTTCCCAATGAGGACATACTTGTCATTGAAGTCTTACCCTATTGGAAGAAATATTTTGATGGAGCTGCAGATAAAGAGAGGGCAGGAACTGGAGTTGTCTTTGTTACTTTGGAAAGAGATATGTTACCATATTCCTTCACTTTGATGGAGAATGTTCATACAATGTTGTAAAATATCAAGCAATGATACTCATGCTTGAAATAACGGTTGATATGAAGTAATTGAGGGTTAGTGTGTATGGAGATTCAAAGATGGTTCTCAACCATATACTAGGTCTTTGTGAAGTACGTGGAACTATTAGGATCGACATCATCGTGACTAGTTCATGGAGAGCATGTTGTTGACATGCCAGATGCTTGGCATGTGTCCCCTCCAAACTTCTATATAAAACGCATTAAATGTCTGGAGGAAGGACTTTAAGACTTTACACGATACTAGACCTAAGCTCGAGAACGTCTGATCATATACTCAATTACTTGAGTCTATATATTGTGACCAAGTATAACATATCTATATATTTGTCACATCATCTATAATTTGGTTCATAACCTGAATGTACAAATAAAAAAATACTCTTACATGATGCCAAGGGAAGATTGGAAATCAATTGTTATACAGTTATACCATGTGCCAGGGTTTACCTTGCATTGTGGACTCTGGTCCAAAATGACAGTTAGGTTTTGTGTTTACAATTAACTTATAGTTAATTTCATTTTAGGTCCTATATTTATATGTGTTACTCTACTTTTTTTTTTTTTTTCATAATATTCCCTGTTGGTCTAACGTTATTGTGGCAAGACCATCTTTTTGTTTTTCGTCAACAAATATGTTTAAATGGCGTTAAACATGAGGATATTTCGATCTATTCAGCCTACCATATTCTCAAACCATTTTTGGGCCTAGATGCATATGTGTCTCAAATATCTTCTTTGCCATCTTTTAATGCTTTTCAGGAGTGAATCACACCAATATATGGACAAGATCTCAGCCATTAAAATCTCTAGGATTGAATGTGTATTGATAGTACAAATACGGTTGTGTACGTATTGTACTGAATACATGCACTTGAGCTCGGGATCCTACGACAAGGGGTTGAGAGTCTCCGATCAAGTGGCTTAAGTGTCTAGTCGTTCCCCCAAAGTCCCCTCTTATTGCAATAAATGCGGGTATTTATAGGGGAGGCAAGGGGACACAGTTCGGGCCACCGGCATGGAGGACACGTGGTCCTTATGCACCGGGCGGAGCTGCGGATGAGAGGGCGCGTGACTCGTGGCGCGAGCCTCTTGGCACAATCTCGCCACTATCTGAGCGGTCGGTTACAAACCGATCGGGATGGGTCAAATGGTCAGTTACGGTTCGTGACGATCGGGATGGACATAGTACGATACAGAACCGACCACCACACCGATCGTAGCTCACTCCGTAGAGGGGTATATTCCTATCATGTATGATTTGTCCTCATAGTCCTCTATATATTAGTGTCCTCATGTAAACTAGAGCGCGCGCACACACACACACACACACACACACACACACACACACACACACACACACACACACACACACACACACACACACACATATATATATTTATATATATATATATATATATATATATATATATATACACCGTTAATAATGCACAAAAGCTACTACACGAATGCACATTGGGTAGCTTGTGTGCTGGGCAAATTGAACACAATCTATTCTATATGCATTTGTGTAGTAGCTTGTGTGTATTTATGAAGGGTGTCAGTTGTCACGATACTCAAGGGAAGAGGCGGTCTCATTTGATTATTACACACTCTCTCTATATATAGTTAACTTATTAGCATATTAACATATTATGTGTTGGTTAATATACTATACATTTTTATTTTATTTATGGGTGCATAATCTATTAGTCACAGATACATAATTTGAATGTAATTTTGATGTAATTTGCAATTGGAAATGGCAAATTATAACATGGACTAGGGTCTATCTTGCATTGTAGACCCTGGTCCAAAAATAACCTTCAGATTCTGTATCTATAGTCGAATATTCGTACATGCACTAGATACTTTATGTACCTGTAGCTATCATATTATGTGTAAGCAATTACCAAGTCATTCTGTATTTATAGTTGACACATTTTGTACCTGTCGTTGATAGTTTATGTACATGTAACTATTATATTATATGTCAGCAATTATAAAGTTATTTGTTTATATGTATAAAATCTGTTAATTGTAGATACAGAATGTATTAACTTAAGATATATAATTTTTGTATCAGGACAATGCGATGTAAACATGGTCCATGGTAATAACAATTGATTGGAAATGGATTGGGCTAAACAGTTCACAGCCTCACAGGTGTTGTATTGGGTCTACGTTCCAATTCGTCCAACTTCTTGCTGTAACGTAATCCGTATCCAAGAAGATAAGGAGATATCTAAGAGTTCAAACCAGCCTTTCAAACTATCTTTGCATGCATTGCACAATGATCTGTTGATTTATTGCTTTTGGAAGGAGGGTGTGCAATTCCCGCTTTTTTTTTCTTTTCTTTTTTTTTTTTTTCTCCAGAGAAATGGCAAATTACTCGAAGGCCCACATCTGCCAGTGCTTGAGCCGCGTCTCGACGGTCCGCCGGAGCTCGACGGTTACAGTGGCCGGAGACAGAAGGAAGACCGGCGCACAGCTTGTTGAGGGAGTTTTGAGCCTGGCGCGTGGGCTTCTTCAGCTTGGCCTGAAGCCCGGTGACGTGGTCGCCATTTGTGCTCTCAACAGGTTCTTCTCTTCCTCTCGTGTAAACCTGAGTCCTTAGTTGAAATATAACCGTAATCCCAATTGTTAGATGAAGCACTCACCACTATGCCAAAATTTATAGCTAGTATGCCAAAATTTATAGCTAGTAGCGAAGTGAGTAACTTTATTTCAATAGACCTCATCACATTAATTTATAGCTAGTGAAGTCGCAACTTTATTTCAATAAATAGTCATCACATTCTCGAGGGAGAGAGGCTCACATTTTCGAGAGAGAGGCGCCGGCCTCCGCCAAGCAATCCCATAGTCACCAATTGATATGGACTTGGCACTTTACTGGCCTCCGCTCAACACCAATGCTTCAGGTGTTGTTACCGAGTAGAACAAACTTGTGAAAAGAAGAATCAAAATTGAATTATATATCATACTTGATTACTTGTTCACACATTTTGTTACTCCTTAAAATTTGATACTTATGAAAGTATACGATTTCTGTCTCTGCACAATTATATGGTAGAAAATTTTGATACTCCCAAGTAGGAGCAATAGCAACACAATTGGATGTATGTTGATACATTAAAAATATTTTGCACATTGCTTTTGTAACAGCGATTTGTATTTGGAGTGGCTACTTGCTGTTGCATATGCTGGAGGAATAACTGCTCCACTCAATTATCGTTGGGTAAGTAGTCTAGCACTAAACTAGTTTATTCTAATTAGTCTATAATGACATTGTCTGAAAAATGATGCGGACTATTTCAGAAAATTATCTGTTCACCTGTTTATGCAAGCTTGCAAGTGGTTTATGTGTTAATGTGATCAACCTGCTCACTTTATACTATGGGTCAATTTAGGCGGGTTGAATTCACTGTCATAAAAATCGGCCTAGGCGCCCCTTGGCCAAGGGTATTTTGGGCCTAGGTGCCTTTTTAGTCGGCCGGTCGACTGGCCAGCCAACTAGGTGCCCAATTCGGCCGAGTCAGTCGAGTTTTTTGCAGAGTCAGGATTTTTTTTCTTTGATAGCCTAAACAATTTTTTCTTTTATTTGTGTGCCTAGCCTCTACTTTTTATGCTTTAGTATTTATGCCTGAAGTAAATGAAATGCTAGCAAATGAAAGGTACCAAGCTTGGTATTGAAACTTTGAAGTAAACAAGAAGTCTTTTATGCTTTGGTATTGAATCCTAAAGTAAATGAAAGGTCTTTTATGCTTTGATATTAAAGGCTAAAATAAATAAAATTCAATTTTTTATTTTATTTTTATAAACCTAGGCGCCCATCCACCGCCCAATGAGCGCCTAGCGCCTTTTACAACCTTGGTTGAATTTTAACCCACATTTAGAGAATTAGAGTGGTAAAAAAAGTTTGAAAGTGGGTTAGTATATGTGAAATTTAACTCATTCAACATTAGCCTTTTTTATTCAAAATAATGTATATTACTATTTGTTTATGATGTTGAATCTTAATTTTGATAAATATCTAGGTTAATATAAGTGCTTACAATTTTATAGTGGGGTAAAATTGGGTTGGCTGCCCAAATAACTTGTACTTTACCCTGTTTTTGACCTGCCCGAAATAACCCATGGTTAATTTCGGTGGGTTGAAAATTTGCTCAATTTTTTCTTCAATCTGTTTTGACCACCCAAAAACCTCAAACTGTCCATTTTCTGCCTATATTTTTGTCCAACTTGTAGGTAGTGTATAACTATATGTGCCATTTATGTTAAGTTAGTAAATGGATTGTTTCTTGGAGTGCATACATAGTAATTTATCTCAGCTTGTAGAGCTTGGAAGAAGCAATGGAGGCAGTGGAGGTGGCAAGACCTACATTATTGGTCACAGACTCAATGTTTAATTTCTGGCATTCCAAGCTCCATGCAGATTCTATACCTTCTCTGAGATGGCATGTCTCAATGGATGTTCCTTTTGGAGTGAAAAGCACTTGGACTGGTATAAATTGGTGTTTCCTTGGCTGAGTTTGAAAATTTAAGAGATAATACTAGCTTGGGTCCTCTGAATATAGTGGCACCGCCACGTTTAGTCCTAAACTTTTAATTTAACCACCCGTGGTCCTTCAACTTTCAAGTTACACCACCATAGTCCTTCAACTTTTAAATTTTTAACGAGCCCTATTCCTAACTTTGCCTTTACTTAAACTAACTGAAGGACCACGACTGGTTAAATTGGAAAGGTAAAGGATCACGGCTGGTTAAATTGAAAGTTTAGGACTAAATGTGGCGGTGCCACCATACTCGGAGGACTCCACATGGCATTAACTCAAAATTTAATTAATTGATAACTAAGGCTTTATCATTTATGGATATCTCTCCTTCTATCTTAGAGTTAATGTAATTCTTGATAATTTCTAGGCTTGACTACCGAAAAGCTTACGAAACATTTTGAAAAATCTCTAGCAACTAATTACCTTTGGGCACCAGAGGGAGCTGCTATAATATGCTTTACCTCAGGTATGCCTCATGTTTTAATATCTCTTTTTCCAAGTGTTCTACAAGCCTACTTATGTAATCTCTTATGCTCTTTCTACATGACAATAGGAACCACTGGCAGGCCTAAGGGAGTTACTTTAAGCCACTCTGCTCTGTTAGTACAGTCCCTCGCAAAAATCGCAATTGTTGGTTATGGAGAGGATGATGTATGACCCCTATAAACGGATAAGATGTGTGTTGAATGAAGAGCTGTCAAAACGGGCCAGCCGGCCCATACAGGCTGGCCTGTCACGGGTTGGGGACAAAACGGTCCAGGCTCAGCCCAGCCCGTTTCAAATCCGGTTTGGGATTTTTTCCAGACTGGCCCATCAAAACCCTGGTTGAATGGGCCCTACCCAGTGGGTTGGGCCCGTTTTGACGGCTCTAGTTGAATCACAGATAATTCATCCCGTGATCATTTCAAATTAATTAGATCTTGGAATACTTACAGGTGTATTTACACACGGCTCCACTTTGCCACATTGGTGGAATATCATCAGCTTTGGCTGTGTTAATGGCTGGAGGTTGCCACATCTTAATACCCAAGTTCGATGCTGGATTGGCTGTTGGATCCATTCACCAACATCATGTCACCTCTCTAATTACTGTCCCAGCTATGATGGCTGATCTAGTTTCATTTTACAGGTATTCAAGATCAGCTTTTATATTTGAGGAAAAAGATATGAAGTATATGGTGGTAAAGTTCTATTCGCATATAGGGATCTCAATCTTAGCCCGAAACCGATGGGCTGGCCCGATAAGGCTGAAAAGTTTTAGGGTTAGGGCTGAAATATTTTAGCTCAATAAAAAATCAGCCCGATAAACCTAAAACTGATATGCCCGGTGGCCCGAATGGGCTAGCCCGATAGCCCAAGCCACTTAAGGCTATTCTTTGTTATAGAAGTGATGTAGAACAAAATATACATGGAGTTTATATGTAAGCTCATCTTTAGTATTTTTTATAAATATATTAATAAATTTATTACAAAATAACATATTTTTTATAAAAATAAATAATGAAAAAAAAACTTACTATAAATATTATATTATAGTGTAGGCATATTAATTATTTTAAGTTGGAATCTGGAAATAGAGGTTTAGATTGATTGAGTGACGTATAAGTTTATATTTATTAGTGTAAATGCGCTAGTTTATTAAAATTGAAAGTTTAGAATGTTAATTTGAAAATGTCAAAAGTTTTAGTTGAGCCCGCCTGATAAGCTCAACAGCTCGAGGTTTTAGGGTTAGGACCAAGAATTTTGAATCCGACAAAAGAAAAATTGATTAGCCCGAACTGATAAGTCCGATAGGGCTAGCTTGAAACTGAATGGGCTTGCATGTATGTAAGGAGAACTAATGACTGGAAACTATTTGCTTGCTGTTAGCATGTTCAGTTTCTTAGCTTCTCCTTTATATGACTCGGAAGATTTAGTGTTATATATTTTAGGTTTTCTGTGGTTGAAATTGGTAACTTTCATAAACATTTTGTAACACAGCAAGAGCTTTAACATTTGATGACCCCTTTATTGTGGTTGACAATGAGCATTTTATAGCTCCATTTCCCCCTATATTGGCATCTTAGTACCTTGGCTCTGTCATTTTCTGATTTTTCATTTGATGTTTTAAAAATTTTTACAGCAGAAAGGGGGCACCTGAAGGGTCAGAAACTGTGAAGAAGATTCTTAATGGGGGTGGGGCCCTTTCAGTTGAGCTTATCACTCATGCAGCTACAATTTTTCCAAGAGCTAAACTTCTCTCTGCCTATGGTATGCTTTGACAATTATTTCTGTTGAAAATGGTGGTTTTGCGAATAGAATTAGGTCTATTATCTGCTTGCCAGTCAAAAGGGTTTTTACTGCTATGTATTTCTGAATGGAAGAACTAACTAATATTTGTGACGGGTTATTTGGTTAGTGGTAACATAAGTTACATGGGTCAAGGTCACTCAACTAGACTATAAGGGCCAAACCACATTGAAAGACTAAATCCAATCAATTAGTTAGTTTAACCAATGGCCTTATAAACCCATATATTCCCTCTTATATTTTCAATGTGGGACTCTTAACAACATCCAAGCAGCATATGACAGATTTGTGTGAAGTTTTAGCTTTACTGAGTATTAAGATACCTTGAGTCTCAGATTCTCTTCTGACTGACATCTGCTATACTTTGAAAATCTGAAGGGATGACAGAGGCATGCTCTTCACTGACATTCATGACTCTCTATGATCCGACAAACAAAAGTGTTAGACAGCAGCTTCAGTTAAACGATGTTAGAAACTCCAATTTGGCACGGCAACCAGAGGGCACCTGTGTTGGAAAGCCGGCTCCACATGTTGAATTAAGAGTTTGCGCAGAGGATTATTCATCTCATATTGGGAGGATACTAACACGAGGCTCCCATGTCATGCTGGGATACTGGGGTCAAACTTCTAACAAAACTTCCGATCTTGCTGGTGAAAACTGGCTTGACACGGGTGACATAGGGCAAATAGATAACCATGGCAACGTCTGGCTCATTGGGCGATCTAAGGGTCGTATCAAAAGTGGAGGAGAAAATGTTTATCCTGAAGAAGTAAGTACTAGTAGAGAACTATAATCTGTCTCCTTATCATCCTCTAGTCAAGCTTAAATTGATAAAAGTACACATTTTCACACTGAAACCTTCTATATTTTCTTGGACTTCTAGCTTAGAAGCAAAATTTGAAGTACAATATTAAAAAGTTTTTATGAGAAGTACTTGTTTGGATTACTATGTGGCTCTGTTTAGCCGCCCCGCTGAAAGCTGAAAAACTAGTACCTAATAAACTAACTTATTGAAATTAAAGTGTTTGGTAAAATTAATTGTTGAATTAGCTGATAAGTGTAGAAAGACAAAAAGATGAACTAAAATATTAGGATTTTGATTAATGAAGTGCAGATGGTGTCATTTTTGTAAATTAATAAAGATAAAAGAGAAAAAAAATTAAAAAACCAAGAGTTCATTAGCGTTTTAAAATAAGTTATTATTTTAAGTTCCACATGTTTTATCAAACAGAGCTTATAGCTTATTTGTACCACATGTTTTATCAAACAGAGCTTATAGCTTATTTGTAGCTTAAAATAAGCTCTACCAAACAGAGCCATATGTATGCTTGTCAGAACAACTTGCATCTCCTACATAAAAGGAACTTGTTTGGATTGTTGTCTAATTGCCAAAAATTGTTTGTGGGCGCTTTGAATAATAAGCAATATCTTTGTCTTGTGCAAAAGGTGGAGGCTGTCCTGTCACAGCATCCCGGGGTTTCTGGGAGCGTTGTTGTTGGAGTTCCAGATTCTCGGTTGGGAGAGATGGTTGTCGCTTGCATTCGGGTCAAAGGCAATTGGTTGTGGGATGATTTGAGTTCCAATCCTTCAGTTAGTGACACGGGAAACTACCTGTCTGGTCACATCCTCCGGTGCTTCTGTAAAGAAAAACAGTTGACTGGGTATGTATGTATGTATGTGTTTAGTCTTTACTTCGCCGTCAGTGCTTTTAAGGTGTATCTGTTGATGCATGATATGAATTTATTGTTGAAACTTTAATGATTATTCCAGGTTTAAAGTACCAAAAAGATTTATTTTGTGGAGGAGGAATCAATTTCCAGTGACTTCTACTGGCAAAATAAGAAGAGACCAAGTCAGAAGAGAGCTCATGTCTAATAATATGCAGTTGATGATATCCAGCAAGTTATAGCGCACAGTTGTTTGGAGCAGAGACAGTAACAACAGATTACACTGGATGGAAGGAGGGAGGAAGGGTTTTTTTTTTTTTTTAACAAGAAAAATGAGTTTTCAGAATACAAAAAAAACTATGGTAAACACGCTCGATTGGGCATTGCTGTTGCGCTCCATGTGAGAAATGCGTGCCTTTTTCATATTTGGTGGAGCCTACTTCAGAGACTAAAAATCAATTCTTGTAGGAAGTTCTCACCTACCTCTTCTCTCTCTTTTACTTCAGCTAAAATCCCCCAAAAAACTGAGTAAAAATTACTATTGTAGTTGTTCTTATCTGCCACATTTTTTTTTGTTGTTGTAATCATAGCGAAAATATTGAGTTAATTTTGTACTAATCCATTTATGCAAGAGTGCAGAGGAACACATAGATTCGGTTGGGGTTTTGGGATTATTTTTGTAACAATCTGAGCTTGCCGGAGGAGGATTAAAGTAGTGTAGAATATAGGCATGAAAGAGTGCAGAGGAAAATAAATAAGGGAGTGAGGTGCAGAAAAGAGTAGGGAGAACAACAGAGAAATGTGGAGAGAAAAGGGATCATTTTCATTAATCAAAAACGGTGCTTGCCAACATTCTATTTGGCAAAGAAAGGAAAAGATAACTCAGCCCTCCCCTCAACGGTACTAACCAATCATCATACCGTGCACCACGATACACATAGCAATGTGCATCTTGTGCCTCCCAAAACAATGTCATTTTATTAAGTTGTGTGGTGTGTGGGGAGTTGACGCGACAGAGTGTATGTGTATTCTGTTATATAATTATGTACATGTACATAATGTTATACAATTATGTACATTCGAAACAGAGATTTTTTTTAAGAGTTAAAAGTTTGTGTATTATGTTAAGAGTTTATGTGTATTATGTTTTATGTTAGATTATGTGTATTATCTTTTCAAAAACGAGTATGTGTATTATGTTATACAATTATGTACATTCTATTATATAATTATGTACATTTTAGAAACATGAGATTTTTTTTAAGAACTTAACAGCCGACACAGAAGCGGAATTTTCAAAAAAAAAAAAAAAAAAGAAGCTTGGTGCACGATATAAATTGCATGTTCTAACCGCAAATTATGTTGTGCAACCGAATGCACCATGCGCATGGTGCATACGATGCAAAACGATGTCGTTTTGGTTAAAAAACGCGCGTCCCACTTAAAAAAGAAATCAGGTTCTTTCCCGGCAATAACATTTTTATATATCTATAAATTCATAACTATAACTATATATATCCATAAATTCATAACTATATATCCACAAATTCATAACTATATATCCACAGTGAATGAATGAAGTAAGTAAAAATCCACAATGAATGAAGTAAGTAAAAATCCACAATGAATGAACTAAATATCCACAATGATTGAACTGTACTAAATATCCATAAATTCATAACTATATATCCATAAATTCATAACTATATATCCACAGTGAATGAATGAAGTAATTATCTACAATGAATGAACTAAATATCCACAACGAATGAACTAAATATCCATAAATTCATAACTATATATCCACAATAATGCTATTGCCGAGAATCGAACCTGAATTTTTTTTTTTTTTTAAGTGAGACGCGCGTTTTTAGTCAAAACGACATCGTTTTGCATCGTATGCACCATGCGCATGGTGCATTCGGTTGCACAGCATAACTATTGTTGTTCTAACATATAAGGTTTCAAACCGCATCATTTTGGCATTCTTATTGTTGGGCTTAGTTTTTCTGGGCATTATTGTGTGAACCATAAATAAAAAGTATATTATTTGTGTACATAAAGTATATTATTTGAATATTGAAAATATATTATTTTGTATACTATTAAACAATGTACATTCAATACACAAATAATGTACTTTTAATATATTAAAAAATATACTTTATATTCCGAGAAAGTACATTATTTAAATATTAAAAGTACATTATTTAAAAAAGTTAATGGCCCTGTTTGGTAAAAAATTGGCCTATAGGCCAATTTTGACCTATTTGACCACTATTAATTGTTTGATTTAGTTAAAATATCAATATAAATGTTTGATTAATTAGCTTTTTACAACTCCAAAAGGCTAAAATTCAAAAAGCTACTCCAAGCAACTTTTTCAATTAGCTTTTTGAAAAAAGAAATTATACCAAACAGCTATCAGCTAACAGCTAATTTACCAAACACTTTTCTACAATCATCTAATTTTATCAACTATTTATACCCTCTAATTAACAGAATCAGCTAACAGCTAACAGCTATCAGCTAACAGCCATTTTACCAAACAGGTCCATTGTTGGAGTCCAAAAATGCTCTCTAAGAAAACGTTACCGGAATCGTCGAACGTGAGCCCTGGATCGGCAACGAGAACTGTCGAGGATCAGGATTTGCAAGAACGAAGCACGAAAAAGTTAAAAACTACAGATGGCACGCCGAAAGTATTCTCAGGCAGTGTAGCAATGGAGGGGTTGAAAACCAAAATGGTGAATCTATGGAGGGTGAAAACAATGCCACCAAACCAACCTACATGGAGTGATTGGAGTCTCTAGCCGGAATGCGAACAAAAACAAGGGAGGAGGACTTTGTCTCGGACGATGAGGAGGATGAAAAGGAAGAAGACCCTTAGTAAGTGTCCAGAGATAAAAATATCAAAAGCTGATAAGGCCGTTCTTAAGAAAATTGGGGTCCTGTACGAAAATTAAAATTGGCCCCCTTTTTGTATAATTGTAAATATATAAAAGATATATTGTATTGTACCAAAATATATATTAGTCTATAAAAATTTATTATTCAAAATTTCACTTAAAAAGTGACATTCTTCTTCTTCTTCGACCATATTTAGATGTAAAATTATTCACCAATTCATTGAGTCTTTTTTACAATATCGTTGATCATAAGTAAGATTTCAACAACTTTAACTTTAAAAAACTTCTTTATGCATAAACAACAGTAATGAAAATAGTCAAGACTAATTGATATTGCAATTGTAGTATCAAAATACAAGAAATTAGATTGTTATTCACCAATCAAAAAAATTCCTAGCCAGGGTTAGTCATTGAATTAATAATTTTAAAATTTTGAATAAAATTAAAGAATTAAAATATTTAATTATTTACATACCTTCATCCTTTTATCGTGAATAATAAAAAAATTGAGGATGCCAAATGCGCAAACAACACACTTCAAATTAATGATTACTGAGACCGAATTTTTGCATTGTGAATATAAATCTTGCGTGTATGCATTATAATAGGAATAAGAGTAATTTTTTATTCTTTATATATAATAATTTTTACAATAATCAAATAGGCCCGCCTCAATTCTTATAAGTTATAGGACTATAATTCTATACGTAAATCAAGTCCCTAAGAATTAGAAATATAAACTTTTTAGAATTTTAGACCATCTTAATTTCTTTATACATAAATTACACCTACACTAATATATAAAATATAAATATAAAATAATAATTTTTTTTTTTTAATAAAAGTGCCCCCAAAATTTGGGGGCACAATGCACATATAATCATATATACTACGAAGTACGTATGTAATGTAATATTTGGGGCCCCCAAAATTTGGGGGCCCTGTGCGCTGGCCCTGGCCAGACATGGAAGCAATCAGTGATCATCAAAGTCCTTGGAAGAAAGGTAGGATACACTTAGCCAAAAGGTTGATTGCTATATGGCACCACAAGTCCAAAATGGATGTTGTAGCATTAGATGATCTCTCATATGGGAGAGGTCACTACATGCCATCTGAACATAAGGTGATTGTCAAGTGTAATTTTATATTTGAAAGATCAGTATTTTATATTGTTGAATTGAGATATAATTTTATATTCTAAGTCTTCTAATATTTGATTTAATATAAAATAAATATTGTAATGATGTAAAATTGTTAGTGGAATAAATCTATTTACAAATATAATACAGATGAAAATTATTGACTTAATTATATATTTTTTTATTTATGTATAATTTTTCTACAAATTATATGTGTGTGAACATTATTGACTTAATTCAGTCTTTTTTATTTATGTTATATTTGGACATCATATATATAAGTTCAAATATATAGTTTTTTTTATACATGTTTTATATTGAATTTATTGTTTTCCAAAAAAGAATGAATTTACTTAGAATGTTATATTCATATCATTTGGTTAATATCATATACTATTGATTAATATTGTTAGAGTATATTTTTAAATAATCGATTGATTATTGAATGCCCACACCTATGGCATATTAGATTTTAGTGGATACCACTAAACCATAAATTTAAATTGTATACTTCTATTTTCATTATTTTTAAACGTATTACATTACATATTTATAATAAAAATCTATAATTATATATTATTTCATTTTCAAAAAATATATACGTAAAAAAATATTAATATTAACCCATAATAATCTTTTTTTTTTTAATGTTGTATTAAATTTTTCATACAATTTTAATTTTTAGTAATTACCCAACTTAAAATCAATTCTTATTTTAATTATAAATATTTGAATTTATAATTTTATAATAGCAAATCAACTTAATTATTAAATAACTAAAATTAATAAAAAAATAAAATCTCATATTTCTTTTTTATATGTAAAATTTAATAACATTAATAATTTTTAATAATATATGATACTTTTAATATTTTAAATATTTAATCCGTGCATCGGGTTCAGTACTAGTGATAAAAATTATAGGAACATTATACAATAAATAAATAATAATAAAAATAATAAATATGAACATCTATCAGTATATATTAGCATTTTGTACGCGCGATGCGCGTAAATTTATGCCCAATATTAAAACATTGATAAATACAAATAATTAAAATTTATAATTTGAATTATATATATACAAATAATATATGTATTTTGTACACACACATATATAATTTGTCATTCATAGAAATTTAATTAAAATATAATTAAACATTAAATAAATATATAATAATTTTAATAAAATGATAATTAAAAAATAAGAAAAGATATGATAGATATAGGTGTATGGTAATAATGATGTGTTATTAATGTTAGAATTCAAAATTAACGGTGTTATAACGGTGTAAGGATAGTTTTGTCTAATAACATTAAAATGTATAACATTTAAAGTAAAATGTACACATTTATTTACATACAAAAAGAGGGACATAAATCAATGATATAACCTTCTTATTATGTTTTTAGATATATATATATATATATATAATTCTCCTAACAAATTTTCCCCCCAAAACTTTTGTAGTAAAACTTATTTGGTAAGTAAATGTCAAATGGAAATTAAATAAAATCTATTAATTGGTAATATTATGTATGGTATTATATTCTATAATATTGATAATATTATTGTTCAAGTATAATAAAAATATTATTGTTCAAGTATAAAATAAAATTAAAATA